TCTTCATCATACCAGCCTTTCGTAAAAATCCTGTAAAAAGCCTTTTGCAATCCTCAAACCTATTTCATGGTTTAATATGAAAAGTACGACCAAGAATACTGACAGGATTTCACACTGAAGGGTACAATGAAGCACCACTGAATTATTTCATCCCTTCATTTTATTCCATATTTTTGTCAGTAGTCAGAAAGGAATGAGCTCCATAATGACACAGGAGAAAATTCTGACTCTACCAGACTATGTGAAAACCTGTAAAAAATGTGGGTAAGAACTGCTTCCAAAAAAAAAAAAAAATAGATGACTACACTTTGAGTTTTCATGGCATAAACAAAGCAGACAGCAATACCAATTAAGGAAAAAAATTACAGAATTCCTGAGATGCTTGATCCCCTAGTCAAGCCACAGCTCTTGTCCTTTTTGCTTGTAGTCATGGGGTGTGCAAAGACAGTACCATTCGGTATGGATTACCAGATCAATCTCTAAAATACCTGCTTTGCCTCRACACCTCACCAAAACAGTGTCACTCGTGGACCATGAAGCAGAATAATCAGATTGGGCCAGCTGTGTCCCGGTTGCTTAAAGGAGAATTTAATCACTGGGAGTTCCTCACTCACTCAGATGCTTCCAGGACCTGACAGTGTATTACTGTACTGTGCCACAGAGATAAGACAGCTCGTTCAAAGCTAATATCTGTGTCTTCTTTCCTGTGGGTACTTGGTTTGACTTGATCTGCAATATATGCCCCTAGTTCCCGCTGCTTCTSTAGCCATTTTTAGAAAAGCAAAAATTATAGAACCCTTAATCTATGTAAATGTATGAGACAAAAATAGAAACAGGGAAAATGAAGTCAGCAAATTCATGCAAATAAGCCAAATCATGTTAGAAGTTAAAAACATGCACTTAACTGAAAATGAGCAAGTGCCTAGGGCAGCTTGCAGGAATGTCATCCACATAATAGATTAAATTGTTTTTCTTATCTTCAGTGTTGTTCCAAGGATTTATTTTCCATCATTTTTTCTTTCTTTATGCCTCTCTAAGAAAAAATCTTATTCCAATCATTGTATGTTTTTAAAGAAAAAGATGATGAAGTTCAATGGCAATAACATTTAGATTGGGAAATAGTGCATTAGAATTTCCATGTAGTGAAAGAGTATTTTTACCTGTATGCACATATATGCATCCATATGTAAATCATAATTTCTTTCTGAGTAGTTTGAATATTTCTGGGCTTTTTATTCTTATAAAATAGGAGATTTATAAGATGAAGTAGTGAAGGAGATTAACCTATATAAATTATTAAGAGATATATTAACCTATGGCTATGCTTTTTAGCTCAAGTGAGAAAACAAGCATTCTTTTTTCCAATGGTTCCATATTTATCAGGATTCACAACTTCTCAACCATGTTCCTASAGCTTTCTTTGCTGGAAGCCTTCTACTGCTCTGCATTTTATAGGAAACCATYTGACTCTCCACAAAGTCCCTGTCCTAATTTGTTGTAGCTAAACTCAATCTGCTTTAGCAGCAGGCTGGCTAGCCAGATCTGTTGTTTTATTTTCATCTATTTTATCATTCAGTCCCTGAAACTGCTGCACACTCAAATCAGACCCCAGGGACTCCAGTTACAATATCCTCACATCCTAGGCAGCATCTCCTGACACTTCCTTGGAATATTCTAACTCTATAAATGATACCACGTATCCCTGCCTAATAGGTACATAAAAATCAACAGTATTTAGCTTCCAATTTAAAATGTTCTAATTTAAATAGCAAAATCATCTTTTCCCAAGGAACAGAGGCATGGCAGTCTTTCCCTGAGCCTAGGACGCAAGTTAGCAGCTGGAATGCTGGAGTCAGCGTTTCATTCCATGGGAGTGAATAACATCAGGTCTCCAGAGATTTCTTAACTGCCCTTCAAAACACAAAGTCTAGCTTCCAGCAAACTTAAAGTAAACATATTTCTCTAGAGATTAGGATCAAAGCACAAGAAAAACATTCTACTTAACTACGTGGTGCTCGTACCATTACTTATTTATTGGAACAAGGATAAGTGGTGCTGGGAGAGATGAGATTCTTTTTTTTTTTTGTTGCATTTTCTGATGGTAAATGTAGTTCTCAAAGGTTACCCAGAACTCTGCYAAAAGATATGCCAAAATCTTCATTCTTTTGCATGCCATTGCCGTTTCTTTCCCAAACATGGTCTTTTATGATGATTATTGTTCAAACTCTGAAGATTTTTCTGAAACAAAGCCTTGGACAACTTGAGCATTTTACTAGAGGAGCAGCCCAAGGACACCCTCAGGCTTTGATGATTTTTGGGGCCTTTTTTTTAAAGTTCTCAAGCAACCACACGCATTTGTAGAACAGGATTAATAGCACTTTCCTCCCATACTCATATAGGGGTTTTGGAGGATATTTACATTACAAATTGAGAAGTTCTGAAGCATTACAGTAGTGGATCTTGTTTGTGTAAAAATCTGGGCTTCCTGGAACAGGTTGACTTCATAGGGAAAAAAGCAATCATCCAGAGAACCACATTTAAAAGAAAATTAAATGTTATGCAGAGTTTTGGAAAACTTAAAAACCTRACAGATATTCATCAGAATGAAAAGACAGAGATGTTTCTGCAGATATGGAAAGCTATTTGTTGGTGAGCTTTGTGCAAGGACAAAGCACCACAAGTGACATAAATTCTTCATGCATRCCCTGTTTGGATTTTGCTGTTGCAACTTTTAGACTGAGATGAATCTCTGTCAGGAAGCAATAACACTGATCCAGCAAGGAGGAGATTAGAAAGGTGGTTCACTCAGGGTTATCCTTTGAGGCAGTTTGTAACTTTAATTCCCACTATAAAAAGAAATGAAAATTCCTCTGAAACCCAGTTTCAAGCCTGTCCTGTGACCCTGAATATGGAGCACAATTAACCAGAARCATTCCTTGATTGTGTCCTTAGACACCAATTTATACTTCTTCCCCAATATAGAACAAAACACGCAAAACTTTACCTTGACTTTGGTCATGACTGTGATTGTGCACTAAATGCACTGAGTTCTGCCTGGCTTTTATATGTCATGTTCTGCAAATGTACAAGCTGATGGTTGTAATTTTCTCATACAAATGGGTTTATTTGTTACACATTTAAATCTCTGTTTGATCTTAAGGAAATGGAAGGCCAGATTCAAGTCCTGTTATACTATTTTTTCAAGGGTATCACATAAATCACATCAGAAATATTTTTAAGAAAGTATGCTTCCCACTGATCTAAGTTCCAGATTATTTTATTTCCTTACTRCACCCTGTCTTGGCTGACAAAAATATTAAGGGTAGTAAGAAATACAGTAAATCAATTCAACTATAAAGATTTTCATYTTACAGGAGCAACAAGTTACCCACTCAGGTCACTACTTTTGGTCTGAAATAACTATGGCAGCCTCTCTCCCTGCCCCCTTTCCACTGTTTTGCTACTGCACTTCCCAGAGCAGATAAATAAATACCTTAGGCATTGGTGCCAGTGGAAACCTGAAGTAATTGTTCTTTTCTCACAGTTCAACCATTTCAGTTTAGAGCTTATGAAGCAGAAAAAAATTACCTGCCTTTTTAAAACTGAACCMCGGATATAAGACAGGCAGTGAGTGTACAGAAACAAAGTAAGAGGGTGCAACTATGGAGTAGATGAAAGCTTTGTCCTGGATAAGCACTTCCTCAAATCTTGTCCTTCTGTACACTCTTCCTTATTCTCATGCTCTGCATCTGGTTAAGAGAAACTGATTTGCCCTGTTGTGCAAAAATTTCAGCTGCCCAAAGTCAGTGACATGCAAATATTTTAGGAGACCTTCTCCAGTTATTTTCAAGTCCTCTAAAATTCATGATTGCTTGCGCTGTCTGCAGCTACACCCAATGAGTTTAAGGAAGAGTGCAACCCAACGAGCCCAGCAGATGTTTYTGGGGTTGCTTCACTGTGAACTTTCTGGTTTCTTCTTCCTTCACTTCCAAGAATCAAGGCCCAATTTTAGCAAAGTGATGATGCTCCAACCAGCAACAAGCCTGAAATAAGTCTTCATCTCCACAATCCTTTAAACATTCAGCATTGCAGATCTATAAGCAGCTGAGTTTTGGGTATTTGTCTAAGCCTCTTTAGCTTGAAAAACCAAAGGATGGGAAATTCATACAACTGGCTCTCAATAGATTTGTGGTATTTCCTGCACTTGTCAGGCACAGAAATACAAACTACTTCACATWATTTTGGTACTGCCAGCACTGAACCCTGCAATAATAAAATATGTAAGAAAAAACAATCTTTTCCAGTAACAAMAAGGGAAACTTTCTTTGAGTTATAATTTTGTTTAACTTATAATTTAGTTTATTTTTCTTTATACTTTACTCTTTTGCTGTCCATGGGGTATTTGTATAACCTTGCATTGACACCAAAYATCAGCAGCACGGTTGGGATAACGTGGAAAACAGACATATATCTTGGAGGGCCTTGTCTTCATTCTGTTTGGTCAGGCAGATGTGGGGATATTTTGAAAAGAAAGGTAGGAGCAGAAAGACAGGAGTATCAAGAGAAAGTCAGGAACACACTTCAAAGTGCCTGCCTCTTCTCTTTGGCCTTTTAACTCTGCAGTTGGTTTCATTTTTGAATTATTGCTGCTATTTCCATTACCTGATTTCTGGATAAATCGTGTCCCAGAATCCAGTACATAATGCTGATAATGCCAGTAGTTGTACAGAGAAGGAGAAGATGGCTTCATTTTCAGGTGTCTAACCTGAAAGAATGTTGGAAGCAGCCCTCTTGCTCCCCATCAAGTGTGAAATACAATACACAGGATATGTTGTYAAAGGCTATCATTTTATCACAGAACAACCCCACATTAAGAAATCCAGAGCACTGCAAATGACCAGGAAATTCCCRTTTAACTTTCACAGATAATGCAGAATTACTTATTATTTGAGCAAGCAGGTGGCCATGCACTGAATTACACGATTTTTCCATTTTTGCAGATCACGTGAGAGCCCCAGCAGGATGACCAGTGGCCACACAGACTGTCATTTCTGCCTGCAGTCTCTCCGTGGAAGGAAATATGCGCTAAGAGGAGAAAACGCTTACTGTGTGCCATGTTAYGACAGCCTGTACGCCAACCCCTGCGAGGAGTGCAAGCAACCCATCGAGTGCAGCTCCAAGGTAAAGGCTGAGCTGTCACTTTTTGTTCTTTGTTAAATTTTACACAAATCAAATCTCTTTAATGGTAGATTCAGCGCCCCCCCTCTCCATATCCTGGTGCTGCTCAAGAGATCTAAGCATGGCTGTTGTGAATCCACACACAGCAGAGTGAAACAGTTGTTTTCCCAGAATAGGAAAGCTCTGGGGCCAAAGATGAGGAAATCTGCACATGCAGATACCCCATGCATACAGCAAGGCTGTGAGGTCCTCAGCTAGGCTCCATCCTTCAGCTCCAGTCAGAGTTACCATTGCGAGGATCATGAAAAAAAAGTCATGTCTTTGGATGGAGTGGAAGGGAAAAATGGGAAAGAAAAGCAGAGGTGATAAGAAAAGAGTGCAACAAACTAAATTAATCTAGAAAGGCAACTCGTAGAGTTCTGCAGCTGATTGTCCCATCACTGCCAAGGGGCTAGAGCTTGATTTTCTTCCTCTCCTCTCCTCTCCTCTCCTCTCCTCTCCTCTCCTCTCCTCTCCTCTCCTCTCCT